GCCCCATTTCTCAAGGTCTTTCTCACCTACCATTATATAATGTGAGGTTCCAACACCCATACTGAGAGAACCAGTTTGGTATAGTGGTTAAGGTACCAGGCTAGAAACCAGAACACCAGTGAGCTCTAGTCCTGCCTTAGGCACAGACCTTGGGTCAATCACTCTCTCTCAGCCCTAGAAAGCAGGCAGTGGCAAACCACTTCCAAAAACCTTGCAAGAAAACTGCGGGGACTAGTCCAGCAGTCACCAGGAGTCAAAAACTGACTCAAAAGCACCACAACAAAAAACTATAAAAAACCCTCCCATAGCGGTGTCCCCACAAGCGAAGGCTGCCTACTGAAGCCATTCATATCTGTGGACCACCAGCTGTTTACTAACATCACAACATGACTTTGCAGAGTGGAGGGACTGCTCACATTTTCAGTTCTACACATGAATGATCTTCTCCAAATGGATCAGTGGCAAAGCACTTCCTACATTTATAATCACAGGTAATCTTAGCCAGTGTATGCAAAAATTTCCTAAAGAAAATGAATGACCTGAATGGTATGATCCAACAATCTGGATACAGAAGTACTCATGCAACAAGAGGGTAAGATAGGTGAAGACTGGGAAGAAGTGGCAGCAATTAAAGCCAAGCAGCTGCTTGCATAGCTCACATTCTGGGAACAAGCTTAGGTGGCAACCCTCCTCCAGTGTAGTTCCTGCAAGGGAACAGACCCAATCTTGCATCTTATTCACCTCTATGCCTACAGCTGACCCTAAGGCTTGAGGATACCCTAAAGGAGACTCATCAACCAAACATGTCCCAACTCATCCTATCTTGAGGTTCCTTTTTCAAAGCCTGGCCTCCCAAATACCAGATCTGTACAGCAACATAACAGGAGTTTTACACCTAGACCGCAAAAATGAGAGGTTGTGCAGTATTGCTGTACAGCAACTAGCCACTAACAATACATAGCCAGGAGGTTTCATGTCACTTAATGATTCTATTCATATAATATGATTAACCCAGTTAGCCACTCTCCAATCAACCTTTTATTGGTAGCTCCGACAGCACCCAATTAAATTAAATTAAATGGATCAAAAGGTGCTATTTTGGGTCCCCACCCTCATCTTTCTCCAGGAAGTACATGATTTCCTTCAACCAGATCAGTACTAGTAAGGTATACTAGTGCTTCCCTTTGGAGAAGACAGGAAGTAAAAGGAACAGCTTGGGCACTGCAGCCAATTGGTATTTGGAGTTTTTTTCTGCACTGCCAGGCCTTGACAATGAACTTTGTAATGGAGAAGCTTGCTTTTCAGCAATTCTCAATCGCCAACTTTTCCCTTGAACAATAATGGGCAGGGTTTGGACTTGATTAGGATAGTTATGCCACATGGTTGATTAGGTGATAGTTTAACCCCAAATAAATTCTGGGCTGACTTGGGTTAAGATAACATTCTTCTAACACATTGCTGACTAAGTTCACAAAACATACACCTTGATTCAGTTAAGGGCCAGTGAGTTACCTAGGTCCTACCCAACTGAAATTTTTAGCGCTGCAGTATGCTGAGTTTTAAATTCCAGGGGATATTTTTTACCTTCCAAGTAAGGAATTCAAACATGTGTTCCACGGAGTAATGTTAGATTGATTGATTGACTGTGACATCTCCTTTGACTGATGATCAACTCCTGGTGACTCCATGGATTTCTCAATGTTTTTCCTTCCCATCAATAGAGACCTTGTCATTGCCTTCTTCCAGTATGTTTTTTCAACCCCCTAATCTAGTCTATCCCCCTGGAATTTCCTAGAGGTTGCACATCCGATCAAGATCAACCAAAGTCAACTTTATATGTTGTGTAATGTTAGGAACGCATGTGCATGACGATTGGACTACCAAGTTTTGCAGAACTGATGCTAAAAGTTGAGAAATCGAGAATGCAGAGTATTCTTATGTGGCACATTTTTACTGCAGTTCAAGTGTCTGGGTGCAATCATGCTCATGCACATTTATTTATGGAGTGTATGCAGATCCATCCTGGCTCAGTGTGTGGTGAAAGGAGAGAGGGAAGAAAAAAAGAAGCAGAAGCTAAGTTTGATCCTGCAACCAGCAGCCTATGGGCACATAAAATTGGAGTAAGAATAATATGTAGTAAAAGCAAAATGGGCAGAAGAAGATGAAAAAATAAGTTAGCCAGACATGCAAGAAATACCCGCCTCACCACAAAAACATCCTTCAAGTATTTGGAGTACTAAACAGTGGAGATATGTAGCAGCCCAGAAAAGAAATCATGTTTATGCTACAGTTATCTCTGTAGCAATGAAGGAAGAGGAGAGGGGAAAAAAACAAGCAAGAAATAAAATAACTCTTCCACATTCATCTTGCCATCACAAAGTAAGAGAAAAGTTCAGTTTAAAAAAGCATTATATTTCTTAAAAACAATAAAAAGGTAAAGAGAATAAAACACAGCACTGCTGTACAGATGGAAAATATGCAGTGAAGAGTTCAAATCACAAGAAAAATTGTGACAAATGTTGCTTTTGTCTACCTTTAAAGTTAGGCCAGGGCCTGCAGTTATAATTTCATAATCTTGCATTATTTTCCATCTCTCAAAAAAGAGTGAGATGGAAATCAGTAATTGCACTGCTTTTTTATTTTAACGCTATGGCCTTTGTTCAAGGCAAATAGATTGAACTGAAATTGTATTTTGCCATTAACAAAATGCAAAGGAAAAGGCTTGAAACAAAAAGCACATCAAGAACAATAATCCACTTGAAAATGTTGCAATGATGGGTACTGTACTTACTTATACTGAATCTAAGACTAGCCTATACTAAGCATACTGAATTTCTCTGAAAGGAAAATTATTTCTCCCCAACAATAATTGTTAAAGCAGCCCTACATTTGCCAAATACAGACAAATGCTATGAAAGTGAGGGGATGGGAAGGAGATAGAGGCACTTAGCTGTAACTAAGGCAAGCAAGGAGACAGAATGGAGGCAGAAACGGGGATAAGCCACACAACCTCACTAAGGCTAAGGAATCTAGAAAAATTGATGCAGTCCTTGAACAGAGGAGCTTCTCTCATTGTGAGCACCAACCACCTCTCTAGAATCGTCAGATCTTAGGAGCTTCCTTGGGCACGTGCAAAGCCGGGCATCTTCTCCTGCCTCCCTGCAGACCCCTCTATGCATGAAGGGCATCAAGAGGGTGGTAGGACTATTAGACTCTTATCCTGCCTCGCTGAATGGGAACAGATCATTGCAGCATCTCACAGTGGCTGAACAGGACTAGAAATCCTAAGCATATTTACCTGAGGACACTCCTCAGCCAGAGGACAATAAGAGTTTTAATCTAACTCTGGAGTAACAGCCATTGAATTCAGTGGAACTTACTATAAACAGCCTCTCCCATCCCTTCCCTTGCACCCTTTACCTTGTCTCATTTCCCTCATGGGTAGCTCTCCTCCCATTCCTTTTCCTTCCCTCTGCAGTACCCCTTCCCCTCACCCCATCTCCATCCTGTTTACTACTATTCCTTTTTTTCCCCTCTTTCTGCTGGAAGATGGGTAAGGAATATGTGGATTTGTGTACTTGGGTGCAAATATGTACACAAAAAAGCAGTTTCTTTGTATACAGATGTGGATAGGGAATCAGATAAGTTTACCAGTAGGATGTCTTATTTAACAGCTATACAGGCTCTATTTTTAATTAGTATTATTAATTAAATTAATATTAATTTAACTTTTTGTTCTGGCCCTGTCTTTTTTACGTAGTGTAATCTCTGGCCAGTGTATATCTACAACCATACATTGGTGTTGTTGTCTGGCATTTTTGTTTAGATTTTTTCTGCTTCCTTGTCTTTCTTTTTTTAAAAGAATTATCTTACATTCTCGAGGGGGAGAGGGTTAGAATTATCTTAAATTTTTGGTTTTCTTCCTTTCAAATAAATGTGAGTATTCTAATATGATGCCTATTCAAAGCATTAATCTCTAGTTGTCCTAGAAAACTGGCTCACTATTAAAAAAACATTCCTGTACAATTTCTAATGACTCCAAATGTGGGCCCACACTATAGGCTTCAACTGATTTAATGGTTTACGTTAAAAGCCTGGAAATTGGAGTTCTGTGGGAAAGGTCGGTTAAGGAATTATCAGTAACTTCCCAAGATACTTTGATGGTAGCCATGACATTCAGCTTAGAATAAAAACAATGCAGGTTGATAATAGGGTTCAACTGAAGCCTCGTAAAACTGCGGATTCTCCCAGGCTAGAATGCATTCTTCCCCACTTCGAAACAGGAGTGCAATTTTAAAATATTTCAGGATGATGGATACTTAACTACAGCTTTCTCACTATTTTTTCCTTTAAAAAAAGTTTTAAAAAACCCCAAACAAGAGAATAAAGCTACGTGTCATGCTTCCTGTCCAAATTACTTTAGAAATGATGCATGTCTATGCTAGTATAATTCCGAAAACTCACAGAGAAAGAAATGCATCATGTATCAGCAGCCAGAGCTGCCAAAAGAAATGTTTAAACTTTTTTTTTTTTAAAGAAAAAGTGTTGATGAAACAATGTCCACTGCTACATTAAGCACTCCCTCCTTTAAAATATTCTGGTGATTCAAAGGAACAATCACAATTTATCTTCGGTTAACACAATGGCAAGTTGGGAGGGGTATTTCCATTTGGGCCAAGCTAATAAATTGTTTCAAGATTTGGTATTCTTTCTATTTTAACCTAAGTGTGTATAACGCCACCTTTAATTTCTCTGTGACTATACATCTTTATAAACATTCCCCCATGTGAAGAAAACAAACTACAATCATAGGAACTGCAAAGATAATTTCTAATAGCTGCCAATTCTGTAAATACACCATAATCAAGATGAATTTCCCATGTGAAAAAAATGAGTATATCTATTAATTAGTCATCAGTTGCATCAATAAAGAGAGCAACCATTCTGCAATAATTGTAACATACCAAACACAACCATATAAAGGCAAAAAGTGTAAATACCTTTCCAAAATCACGAACATCGAACAAGTCAAATGCTTCAAAAAGTTCACTCTTCTTCATTCCAAATATTTCACAACAGGCAGAAAGGAATGTTCTTATATTCTTCAAACACAGAAACTAAAGAGAAAAAAAGTTTATACTTTTAGTAAGCCATTTAATTATCAGTGAGGATATTCAATTACACTCAAAAGCATATACCTCTGGAGGAGTTTTCCCCAACCACTATAATTTTCTAAAACCTTTATGGCTACACCACGAAACTTTTACACAGGAAACTCAGAGAAGGTAACAGAATGCTTGATATCTTCTTTGACCAACTGATCCTCCCAATGTGTAGAAAATTGCGTTTTGCTTTTTCCATTTCAAAAAGAAGTTTTTCATTGGAAGTCTACTGTTCAAGAAAAAGGAAAGAAATTCCAGTTTCCCTGGGCTTATGATACTGGTTTCATGATTCTTTGAATCTCCACAATTATAGTGGATTATAGCACTAGAAGCCTTTCCAAACTGGTAGCTCCATATTTACTATTAATCAGATTAATATTCTAATTAATCTCCATCTAAGGATGGTAAGAGTTTTAATCCAACACTGGAAAAGGGCACAAGGTTGGAGAAAGCTCCAAAGAACATCTTACGGCTGCCTATGTAAACCAGCAAAGAACTAGGAAGGGCTCTTTTATCTTGGTATGCTGAAGAGCAAAGGAAAGACTCAAAGGTGGGGGGGGGCATCATTATTAACTATTTTTTATGGTGCTTGTCTACTGCTTTGGTCAATAGGAAACAGTCAAATCTATACAGTAAAAATACAATACCTAAGATATTTTGACACCTAATATAGGAAATGGCTCTTTCTTGATGGTGAGGATATAGTAAAATTACTTTTTTGGCCTTGAAACTTGCCATTAAAACAAGTGTCCAACTCCTAAGCCATAGAAATGCCTGTAATTAGTTAATTATAATTACCTAAGACTATAACTGCAATTAAAAATGTTGTCTTTTAAAAATTGCCTTAAATGTTAAGTAGGTATATAATATACAGTTATACAAGTTGTTAACTATATAATTAGTTAACACTGGGGGGGGGCAAATGTTAAAAGGCCACATGTAATCAAAATGCTCAGTTAGAAGAAAAATAGATTCTGTAAATAGTTTTGCAGCACTTAAAATAGAAAGGGCCACAAAAGCTTATGGCAAGAGCAGAATGGAATGTAATTGTACCCCCTCAACATAATGCAAATACTATAACACTGGTAGGAGTAAAAACTAGTAACAACACAGAACAGAACCAACTAGCATTTTAGGAACATTCCCTCAACTCAGAAAAGGAGATGAAAGACAACTAATTTGATTTGAGGAAATCTGCTGATCCAAAAATTTCCATTTCAACTGCTAAAAAGCAACTTACAT